GGGGGAATTCACGGTGTGCGAGATGGGGGAGAGGTATGAAGGAGGGAGGGAGGGAGGGAGGGGGGGAGGGAGGGAGGGGATATCAAGGAGTCCGATCACCGCGGTCTCGCTCATGCGGTGGCGGGAAGGAATGGGTTTGGCGGAAACGAGGGGGAAGCGCGGAGGCAAGAAGGGAAAGACGGGGAGGGGGGAGGAGGAGGATGAGAGGGAGGAGGAGGAGGCGAAGGCGGCGATGGCGATGGCTCGGGGCTTAGAAGAGGTTGGGGAAGGGGAAGGGGTGGAGGGGGGGGAGGCACTAGGGGAAGACGAGGAGGAAATGATCCTGTACGGTGCTGGGAAGGAAGGTGGGGATGGAGAGGAAGGGAGCGAGGGAGGTAGGGAAGCGGGCGCAGATAGTGGCGATGTCGAAGCGGTTGTCGAGGAGGAGGGAAGACGGGGGCCTGGGGCCGAGACTCTTGGGTCGCCGAATGGGAGGCGAGAGGAGGAGGAAGGGCGAGAGGTAGCGATAGAGGGGCAGGGGGAGGAGGTGGGGGAGGAGGAGGACGAGGGCGTGGTCCTCTGTGCCCTGTGTCGGGCGGACGGCTCCCTGGAAATCCTCCTCCTCCCGCGTCAACTGCCCTGCCCAGGCTCAGCCGAGGAGTCTTCCTCCCTCCTTCCCGCCCTCCCCCGGCTCCTGTATGCCTCGGCACGGTGTGCAGAGGGCCCTCGGCTCCTGCGTAACGCCCTTCTCTTCCCGGACATGAAATTCCGCCCCGGGAAACGGGAAAAGGCGGCGCCGGGGCTGGAAGGGGAAGCGCAAATGGCCGCGGCCGCCTATCCCGTGGTCAATGAGATGTCCCTTGCCCTGGTGGGGCCGGCCGCTAGCCTGGAAGGCGGGGGCGAGGGCGGGGCGGAGGGCGGGGCGGAGGGCGGGCGGGTGGCGGCCGCGGCCCGCTTATTGGAGCGCGTGTGCCTGGTCCTCTGGACCTCGGAGGACGACCTTCTGGTCTATGTGGCCCGCCCGGTGGCCGGGACCTTCCTCACGCCCCCTCGAGGCGGGGAGGGAGGGGCCGGTGGAGGACGGGCGATGCGGCCTTTGCCCTGGTCCTTGCTTCGCCTCTCCCATGACCTGATCACCCGCGAGCCCCGTCACGCCCTCCAGGCCCCGGACCGCCCCCCCCTCCACCGGCGCCTCTTCCCCTTTCCGGCATCCCCGCCGGCCGTTCCCTCGTCCTCCTCCAACTTCCCCTTCACGGTGGGCGTGGGGCACCAACGTGGCGTCTTTGTCGGGGGCCTCACGCCTGCCTGGATCATCAACGAGCGAGGGAGCCCTCGGGTCCTCCCCGCCGGGATCCGCGACCCCTACACCGCCGTCTCTGCGCCCAGCCCGGCAGGCAGCTCAGGCAAGACCGTCCTCCCTCCCTCCCTCCCTCCCCACCCGCACGTGGCCGCCTTCGTTCCCTTCCCCGACGCCCCCGCGGGCTTCCTGGTCGCTCACAACGGGTCCCAGGGCCTGGCCTGTCTCTCCCTCTGCGTGGCGAACCTGGGCGGTAGCTTGGGTTACACCGCCCCGTCGGGGGCCTTGTCGGGTGCGAGTGTCACCTTCCGGCGCCTGGGGCCCTTGGGGCACGAGGCGAAGAAAGTGGTGGCCTTGGAGGGGATCGGGACCGGCGTCCCTTTCTACGCCGTGGTGGTGGGGCGGGGGGAGGGGGAACGAGCGGAGGAGGAGGCGGAGGGGGAGGGGGACGGCGGGGTGGGGGAGGAGGAGGAGGACGAAGAGGACGAGGAGCGGCGGAAGCTGGGGGCATCCAAGCGGGTGGGGGCGAGCGCGCAAGTGGATGTGGGCTTGACCAAGACGGGCGAGCGTCTCACGGATTTCACCTCCGCCAAGGCAGAATACCTGGGGGGCCCTCCCCTCCCCGCGGTCTGGGCGGGCGGCCACCAGATTTTCATCATGGGGGGGGCGCCTTTCGGAGTCACGTCCGTGATCCCTCTGGAGCCCTTTGAGCGGGGCTTGGCCCTGATGGTCTACCACCGACGGTCCCCGTCCACCCCCGCCTTTCCCCCGGGGCCGCCCTCCCACCAATCCCATTTTCGAGAACGCTACCCGAATCGGGCCCCGCCCCCCGCCGACCTCCCTCCCTTCCAGGCCGCCGATACCTACCTGGCCGTCGGCACGTGCACTGTCCGGGCCAAAGGCGAGGACGTGCCCAGCAAGGGGCGGCTGCTCATGTACCGGATCTCGCTCGATCCGTACGCGGGCCTGACGTCTCCCCCCACCCTCACCCTGGTCGACCAGTATTCCCAACGTTCGGGTCCCCCCACGGCCATTGCCCAGCTGGGTCCGCACATCATCATCGCTGCGGGCCCGACCCTCTGGGTGTATGCCTTCTCGGCCCGGGAGAAACTCAAGCCGATCGCCTTTTACGACGCAGATTTTTACGTGGTCTCCTTGCGGGTCGTGAAGACGCTGGTGGCGGTCACGGACGCCTACCATTCCGTCCACCTCCTTCGCTGGCACGAGCACGATCCGGCCCACACGCTGGAACTGATGGGAAAGGACTATTCACCCATCGTCTCCGCGCAACCGGGAGGCTCGCACTTTGTCGTCGATCCACCCTCCCTGGGCATGCTCGTCGGGGATTCCCGGGGCAATCTGCAACTGTTACAGTACGATCCTGCCGACGTGGAGTCCCGAGGAGGAAACCGGTTGGTACGACGGGCGGACTTCCACCTCTCCCACCGCCTGTCCTTCCTCCAACATACACGGATGGCCGAGGTACCTCGCCCCGGTGCTTATCGAGCCGGAGTCCGAGTCATGGTGTTCGGGAGCGTGGAGGGAGGAGTCGGGGCGCTGGTGCCGGTGGAGGAAAAAGTCTACCGGCGCTTGTACGCCCTCCAGGCCGTGATGGTCAATGCTTTGCCGCACGTGGGGGCCTTCAATCCCCGAGGTTTCCGGCTGGTGGAGGCGCGTGGATGGGCGCAAGGCCGGAAAAAAGGGACGCTGGACGGGGAGTTGCTGTGGCGGTTCGCAGGCTTAAGTGTGGGGAAACAGGAGGACTTGGCGAGTGCGATAGGGACAAGCAGGGAGATGGTTCTGGAGTCTTTGTTGGAGGTGGATATGATGACGTGGACGCTGTAATATAGGAAAGATTTGTGGAGGGCGACTACGAATATAGGGACAAGGGTAAATGCCTTTCGGTTGAAGAACATGTCTCAAACAAAGCAATAAGAAATGTTTAAGCAATTTTGATCCTTGAGACACATCATGCCTCTATTTCTTTTTTTCGAACGCTTTTCTGAATACGATTTGACGCTCTCAAATTTAGAAATATCTCAAGCTTTAAAGGCTTCTGGGATGAATGAATCTTAAACGGGTGATCGCATTCAGAACGAGGCACACTCCCACACACACCACTTGACATGTCTCCGCTCAATTCGTCTCGTTTTCAAACACTGTTCAGCTACTTCTCATGCCTGGAGTAAGACTGCCGCGGGGCCCGCACCGAGGCTCCTGTGTCATTGACTCTTCGTATCCTCCGTCATTCCAGTGCTTGGTCTCTTACTTGCTGAGATGGACAGCGGTCTCTCTATGGGTTTTACATATACTTAAATATTATCAACAGCTTCTGCTATTTAACTCTCCTGTACGCGGCATCGCCACTTCCATCATTCCTATCCCGATGATACCCTCTACGCCCACTAATCGCAGCGTCACGCTCTTCCTTTTTTTTCATTATCCTTGCCCTGACGTTAGGATCCCTACCTTGGAGATTTACCATCCCTTCCTCTGCTCTCTACTCCTTCTTAAGGGCGCCGATTTCCCTCTTTCTCCTCTTTTCCTCAAATATGCTTTCCACAACGCACCACCCCCAGACTATCGTCAAAAGCAACAAGACCGAGAGGCCATGGACCAAGTACGTGATGCGCCGGTTCAGCGCATGGAAACCGCGGTCGAGAACCCAAGCGAACGTGGAGATGTCCTCCGCCTCCTGCAAGAAGGGTTGCGAGGGGAACTCGCTGTGGTTCCTTCCTCGCTCTCCAGGCAAAGAAATGACCAGGTCTCCGGCAAACTGAAGGGGCGCATCTTTGACAATCGACATCATTTCTCTGTAAAGCCTGTCTACCACGTATTTTCCTCCCTTCTTGAAGGCCAGATTGTGCCTCTCCTCCGGGTCCTCGCAGAGGTTGTAGAGCATGATCTTGGGGCCGTGGTCCCGGTTCCAATCTAAGACAGGGCCGTGCTCGCCGAGGGTCCCCTTCCACATCGTTAGGTCCTAGAGAGAGGGGGAGAGAAGAAGAAGAAAAAGGTCGGGAGGGAGGACACGTCTTCGTTGTTGTGCAATATTAACAACACGGCAAGGCGGGGCGAAGAATCCGAAAGTGGCTGTTTCCGTTCCCCGAACTTTTCCTCGGGGACCATTTAAATTCTAGACAACATTGTATGATTCCAGTGCACAGTACTGCCGGCCTATAGTTGAAAGTTTCCGCCCCCTCGTTACCTGGTATCGGGAATTTAAGAAATTAAAAAAGGAGGTACGAGTCCACCAATCATTGAAGAGTGCTATGTTAAGAAAGGCGAGATACTTGATGCCCTGGTTGTTAGCAGGCGACCTGGAAGACGTAGTATGGGCCCCAAAATGCGAAACATGAAAGGTATGATGATCACTCAGCAATTGATATGCTGTGATATACGGGCTAATAGAATACTGTCAAGCTCGACTTCATCTTGTCTCCTACCTGCCCCTTCACTTACATTATCGCATCCAACAAGTCGGCAATCCACTCCAAAAGCTTCGCCTCAACGTCTCTCATAAAGGGCGAAATTTTTCTTACACCGTTCTCCTCTTCCCCTTCCTCTTTCTCTTCTTCCTCCTCGTCTTTGACCACCCACAAGGTCTCAGTCGGTTCCAAGCTGAGCTCTGTGATCCCCGGGCACCCGAGAAGCAACTTAAAGCACCCACTCCTGTACGCCGACGTGTTCTGGAAGATATCTAGTTGAAGCAGCGCTTCATTTCTAGGCGATTTCTCTTTTCCACCCTCCTCATCTCCCCGGAAAGCTTTCCTCAAATCGTAGCCATCTCCCATCCTCTCCCTCCCTTCTTCCCTCCCAGTCGCCATGCCCATCAATGTTGGCATCCAATCAGCCACGTGCGCCATTCCCCTAAAATCCCTGGGGGCGAAATTGTATCGTTTCGGTGCGCGAATGAAGGCGGGGACCCGGACACCACCTTCCCATCCACCGCTTTTGCCACCTCGGTAGTTATAATTGAATCCGCCCACCAGGAAGTAGCCCCCGTTATCACTGGTAAACACCACAACCGTGTCCTCCCACATGCCATGCGCCTTCAAACTTGCTGTCACATTCCCAATGCCTTCATCCAACTGTGCCATCATGGCACAGAAAGTCCGCCGATGCCGGTTCGGCACATCGCTGCACAGCTTCATGAATTTCTCGTCCGCCTGTAAGGGGGCGTGAGGAGCCGAGTAGGCCAAGTACAGAAAGAGAGGATCCATATCTCCATCCTTTGCGCCCGCATGTCCCCGGGCAGAATGCTCCTCTATGACCTTCACAGCCTCCCGGCTGAAGAGAGTGGTGGCGTGCTCCTTTTCATCCACCTCCTTGGCTGGGACTTCCGCTTCGTTCTTCCACAAGTCTCGCACCTCTCCCATTTTTTTGGTATAATGATCAAAGCTGGCACCTAAGAGGCCGTAAAAGGAATCAAATCCACGGGCCAGAGGGCGATTTTTGGCCTTGGCTGCGCCCAGATGCCACTTCCCGACAAGGTGCGTACTGTAGTTAGCCTCACTCCTGTTGGGAGAGAAGTGTACACATCACATGCTCAGACACGTGCCATATTCCTAATTTTCTTTTATACGATAAGCTTTTAGAAGGCGTACTCCGACCAAGGGTGAAAAATACAAGGTCACGTGTGACTTACTTCAGCATTTCAGGTAATGTGGGTATGCTCCCATCAAGGCCAGAAATTGCGTCCCCGATTAAGGGAAAAGGCATACCGACGTTCACGGCATAGCGACCTACAGAAAGGAGGACGGTGGTTGGGAATGGAGAGAAGGCTACGCGTGAAAAAGTTGTCGTGAAATTAATGGAGAACCAAAGGGGCATTTCTTCTGAATTCGTGGTGCGTGCTAGGCATTCGCGGTTCCGAGAGCGAAACAAGTCAAAATTGAGGACGTGTCGCAGATAAAATGCGGTTTGGAAGCGCCGAAAACGTGGGAAGCTTTTATACAGAAGCGATCTCTCCCGGCAGGTCCCAGTGTTTTCCGGTCCCAGTGCTTTCCCGCATCTCCTTAACATACCTGTCAGCAGAGCTGCCCGCGTAGGTGTGCAGACCGGATGGACATAGTATTCCTTAAGACGTACAGACTCGGCGGCCAATGAGTCCAAAACGGGGGTCTTGCCCCGAAGAGGTGACTCAGGACTGGAATGAGAAGGGAAAGGAATAGAAGAGAGAAGACCGGAACCTGTGTTAATTGAGGTTTCACACTACCGTATGAATCTACGGCCATTGAAGCAAGCTCAAAGATCACCCGAAAGCGAAGTGAGATCGTAGATCTCACAGGAAATAGAGTTCGGCACTATCTCACCTTGCGTTATACCCCACATCTTGAACACCCGCATCATCGACGACAATCATAAGGACGTGGGGAGGTTTCGCAATTTGTGGATTTTTTGCCATTGTGGAGGCCTTTACACAAGGTATTGACGGTGAAGATATAGCCAAAAGGATGAGCATCACAGCAGATGTAATGTATTGCGGATGGAAAAACCGGTGGATACTTTTACGGAGGCTGACTGTCCATGTCTTTCTTTTTGTGCTCGAATTCCGCATCGTGTGATGACGGCACCAATATGCTGCCGAGCTCAAAGGTAGTCTTATCTGAATCTCTACTGAGATGTGGTTCCTGTCTTGGATGTAATAAGACATGGAACAAGCTTATGAAACGAGTTGCTACTCTCAGACTTGAACCTCCGTCGCCTTACTGCATTAATTGTAGCCCTCAAACAATGAAAAGTGCTACATTTAAGGGGCGACAAATAGATAACTACTTTAATGCAGAATATGCATGAAAGAAAGTGAGAAAATCGATGCGAGTTTGCTAAAGAATAGGCCTGTATTGATTTTCCCGGGCATTTCGTCGAGCCTCCCAGCTGGGCCCATTTAGTCCCGGAGGTTTCTCCGAAATTTTGCTCGCTTTGAATTTTTAAATTTAGAGAGTTAAGAAGCTCTCTGAACTTTTCTTGCTCCCTTAAAAGCCTCTACAGCGCTTTGCTTGATGTAAGTAAGGATCCCAGTCAAATATGCATATTTCATCAAACTTTAAACCGAGATATCACGCATGACATCGTTCGCAATTCTGTCCTTCACATCTGCGGACCAAACTTCACTCTCATGGAAATCATGATGCCGATCTTTGTTGTGTCATTGGGGGGGAAATAAGCATAATAGGGTCGGCACACTGGTGATCTCATTGGAAGGTAGGGGTAATGCATCATAGAGCTTAAATAATTGAGAGACAACCCCCTGCTTACACGCAAACAGCCAAATCGGTCATAAGTAAGTCGGTAGTTCTTTCCTACCACCTATTTTTTCCCCTCTGATTCGAATGTCTTTGTTCTCTTCCTCTCTACATGCATTCGTTATCTTATGTGTAACTTTTATCAGGCACGTCTGTAGAATATTTATTCGTTAAAAACGCATAAATTGCAACGCGGATGACCAGTCCTATCATTGTTCTGTTCTCTAGTTAGGAGATGAACCGTCCATTAAAAGTTCAATTGCTGAAAATCATGTATAATTCTGACAATTTTTATGCGTCATTTTCCAGGGTACATATCAGACATGAACCTTTCCTTCTTCTTTTAAATTTGTCTGTATGAGGCAACGTGTTCTGAGGAGGATGTAAATCAGAGTATTTCGTGGAAAAGAACCCGAAAAGAGACGTCATATTCACGAAACGAGAAAATGAAGTTGGAAAACGTGAGATGCGAGATTGCAAGTAGGTGAAACCACAAACGACACGAATATTGTAAGAGGCGATGCGTCGCAGGTCTTGTGGAGGCTTGCCGTACGATATAAGGACTGAAGCCGGCCTTCAACTTCGAGAGCCCAGCGAGGGAGCGATGACAAAAAAGCTCTGCAACGCAAGCGGTACATCCGTGCAGGACATTCGCAACCAGTAGACAGAGAACTTGAGACAAAATCATCGCATGTTGGGGAGAAAGCACTGTCATGCTGTATATGAGCGCTCGAGATACTGCATATCGTATGTTTTGCGCTGGACAAATTCCGCTACCTGCGCTTGGCTGTGAAGGATGGTTACAACCGATAGGGATGGGTGCCCCGCCTCCCTCCCTTGAGATGGTGGCACACCATCCCCCTCCCCTCTCTCCCTTTCTCCCTCCATCTATCCCTCCCTCCCTTTTCTCTGACATACATACTTTCGCGGTCAACCTTCAACCAAAGCGTGCACTACCCGTATGGTACAAGTATGGTGGCATCGGACACGGCCGGAGTAACGGTTTTCGTCCTTTGGCTTTCTCCCAGCGTCTTGCGAATCGAATCCAGCGTCTGAAAACCTAATCTATTGCCCTCGTTCCGACATGCAGAAGCCTTACCATGTGCAAATTGTGTATGTGTCCCTATTGATCTCTTCGCTCGATCACGAACGTTTGAATTTTGAGTGCGAATGTGGTAGAAACGGTCAGGATTGCGGGGCTGTGGCCTTCGTCTTCGCTCTCACCCAATGTCCCCTTCATATCAATGCAAGTCGTGCGACACCAGCCGCGCTCATGGCATCTAATGACAGAAAGGATGAGTGGCAAAATGCACCTAATGCGCCGTCGCTTTACCCTCAAGTCCCTCCTCAGGTACGGGCTGGTTGGCAGGTTGTACAAGTATGTGAGATTGTCTTTGCCGATAGTTGATGGCCTCGCGGTGGCAGATACTTTCACCCTGACCTTAATTACAGGCATTTCAAGCAAGTCAATGTCTATTTGCTTCTTCTCACCGCTATTTCTTCACTCTCCCTTGTCCGCTCCATTGATCGTATTTTTATCTACAAGGGTTTCTACGCCCCCCCGCAAAATAATGAACAAGGTGGCCAGTACAATGGCGTGCCACCTATGTATCAACCCGCGGTCGCACAGCCAATGATGGTTCAAGGTCAACCCGTATACGTGCAGCAGCCGGCGTCGGGAAACTATTACACACCACAACAAGTACAGGTCGTCCAACCGCACTCTCAGTTTCAGAACCCACAGCAGTACCCCAGTAAGACCGGCGCCGTGGAAATGCAGCAGTACCGACCGGAGCCGCAGTATCAACAGCCGGAAAAACCTCTTCCAATGACACAGCCCGGAAAGCCGGGGGCGGGCGAGACGGGGGGCGACACGGCGTCCGGTGCTGCGAGTGGGGGGGGAGACAGAGACGCGGCCAAATGCCAGGACGCATGGGCGGCAGTCCTCTTCCTCGCCCACTTGGGCTTCATCGCTTACCTGGCTTTTGCACGTGGACTGAAGGCGTTGAGGGACCAAGACCTGACGACAGACACCCCCACGACCGAAGACCCCACGGGCGAGCACTATCGCATCGCAGAGAGCGGCCTCACCTCCGTGTACATTGGTTTAGCCGTCGTCTTGGGGGCGGCCGCCGCCTGGTCGGCACTCTGGACGGGCATCTTACTCCGGAACGCGGCTCACATCATCACGGCCGCGTTGATTGGGAGCATTATCAGTTCGGGCGTGGGCGTCATTCTGGCCCTCGTGTACGGGAACTTCGTGATGGCCATTATGGCGGGGCTCATGGGCGCGATCCAAGTCATGTGGTATTACTGCGTGAGGGACCGAATTCCCTTCGGTAAGGCTTGCGGGATGGACACAGGAGGCAGGGAAAGATGAGGTTACTTGTCCCCGCGGGCATAGGCGGTATCCTCGCGGGGGCCTAGTTCGTCTTGACAGGTACACAAGCGCTGACGCATTGCTCCCCTCCCACCCTCTCCCTTTTCACTCGCAGCCTCCATGAATCTGAAGTGCTCCGCGACCGCCACCCTTCAATACCCTTCCATCCTCTTCCTGGCGGCTGTGATGACGGTCGTCCAGATGGGGTGGGCACTCCTATGGCAGTTGGCCGCGTACGGCGTCGCCGTCACCAAGGGGGCCGAGATCGTTGTCATCGAAGGGACGAGCTTTCTGCTTTCTCAGTGCACGGACACTGCCGGCGCCTGTGCCTGCTCCCGGGAGACGGCAGAGGGTGTGGTGGCCCTCTCCGAGGCCGGCGTCTGCAAGGACTTGAGCGAATTTTCCGCGAACGTGTCGCCGCTTATCATGTTCCTCCTTTTCATCTCCTTGTTTTGGGGCAGCTTGGTAGTAAAGAACGTCCTGTTCTGCTCGGCGGCGGGCATGGTGGCCGACTGGTGGTACAGCGGACAGAACAAGGGTGTCGTCTCCAAGTCCTTCTTCCGGGCCTCTAGCACCTCCTTCGGCTCCATCTGTTTCGGTTCCCTGATCCTTGCCGTGCTGCGGGCCTTGCGGCAGATGCTGCACGCTGGCCGGAGACAGGGGCAACGGGAGAACGCCTTGACCTGCGTGGTGAACTGTCTGATGGCCATCATCGAACGCCTGATGCAGATATTCAACCGGTAGGCTGGGCGAGATGGAGAACAGAGAGATGGGGTCCGGAGGAATAACGTCGGGTCGGACGGCATAGTTAGCTACATGGCTATAAATAATTCTTAACAATTTTGAGTTTTCTATGTTCCATTCCCCAGGTACGCCATGGTCTACTGTGCCACCTACGGAACAGGCTTCCGGGAGTCCGGGACCAAGACCTTCGAGCTCTTCAAACGCGCGGGTCTGACGGCGATCATCAACGACGATCTTGCCGAAACTGCCCTCAATCTGGTCGCCCTGATTATTGCCTTGCTCACGGCCGTGGTCGGCTTTGTGTACGGAACCATGTTTGGGTTGGGGGGAAATTGGCCAGTCATCTTAGCGGTGGTGGGTTTTTTCGCGGGATTCTTTGTCAGTTTGATCGTCATGAGTGTCCTGGACGCGGGCGTGGCCACTGTCTTTGTGGTCTTTGCGGAAGACCCTCAGGCTTTCGCGCAATCCCACCCAGCCTTGTATGAGGAATTGGCGCAGGCCTGGGCCAAAATTGGGTATGACCCGGCTCGCCGGAGTGTCACCAGAGTTTAAAGCGATCAACGACGGCGCGACTTGGAAGGGATGGGGGGCCGAAGATTGCTTGCGCAGGCAGTAAACGAGGTCATACAGGGTACAAAAGAAGGAATGTGCATGTCCGAGATATATAGAATGAGACCATGGAGAAGCAGGGGGGTCGGAAAGGTCCTGCGGGAGCCGGGGGGAGGGAGGACAAGGATTATGGCGGCTGTGAAAATTTGGTCCATGATTACGCGGTGCTCAAGAGATTTACGTCGATTATGCAGGCATCTCAATAAAGCTGTGACATTCCGTTGGCCACTTGCAGGCAAGCAGCCGCCTTAGACTAGCCGGCTAAGTGCTCGCGGCGAAGCTTCGTAGGTATATAACATCCTTCTATGCGCGGCCCTACCATAAGAAAAACAACTTTAAATGCAATCTGCGATTTGGGGTAAAATTTCATCGATTTCACGGTTCCTGTCTCTTCTCCTGTGCGTCAGCGTCGCGATTTATCAGACAATTTATTTTTCTCGGTTCCAGTTTCATAGTCTATTGCGCCTCTCGACTGCCGCCTTCGTTACTTTTACCGCCACCGCGCCGTTCTGCTTTTGACTTTCTCTCGTGCTGGCACGTGCACGGACAGGTCATGCTCCCGAAGCTCTTCCCGCGCCCTGATCGCTTCCTTTGAAGGATTTTCTTGCGGCCTGGTCGACGCCGTAGGAAAAGCTTTAAAACCCGCACGGTCGATATGTCGTGCATGGGAACGAGCGTCACCACGCTTCCTTTCCCTCCACGCTGCACGGGCTCCATTACCTGTTTCTCTTCCTCCTTTCAGCCTCCCCTCTTTTACGCCTTCTCCGCTGTCGTCTTCTTCGTCGCCAGCCTGGACACCGTTCCCAGCGACAGCCGTCCTTCTTTTCCCAACCCGGTGCGGCGGTGCCAATCGAGGGATGCGAACTGCTTTCCCTCGTCCTTTCCCTACACCACTCACGCCTCGTACAGGCTTTAAGGTCATGCTTGGTTTGATCACCTCAGGCTTTCGGACTTGGCGACTGGGAATGCGGCTACGATGCCACTCCACGCTCGGTATATCCCTTTGGACGTCGGTAACATGATGGCTGGTGCCGCCATCAGGATTTAATTGACAAGCCATCGACAGGCTGCTCTTTGGACTTTGTTCTTCGGAATCATCCGGCGGATTTCCATCGGAAGACGGCATCGGCGGGGACAGAAGCCGAGAAGGAGGACGAGGAAAACTCAATGCCGGGTGTTGCGCGGAAATAGTGGCAGGAGCCGTAGACGTTGAAGGAGGAAGAGAAGGAGGATCTGCGTCTTCCGATGGAAAATATTTGGAGGACGCAAGCGAATGTGCGAGGGGCCCGGGCGTCGTAATGGCTGTGGCGTCTTTTGTCTGGCGCGCATTGCCATGGCCTTGCAAATCATGTGCAAAAGACCGAGAGGGCATGGAGGAATCTGCAGCTAGCGCGGGAAAGGATGAGGGGGGCGAGGAGAGCGCTCTATCTGACGCATTGATGCCGGTGGTTGGAAAGGTGCTTGGGGAGGAGGAAGAAAAGGAGGAAAGAAAAAAGGGTGTGGGCGTGTGGATGAAGGCAGTCGTGACATGTCGCGGCCAAGCCCGAGATCCGTCGGCGTTTTTCGCGTGAGAATCACCGTGTCCTTTCCGTTGAGAGAAAGGCCAGCCTCCTCCACTTTTGCTTAGATCAGACACCGCAGTCATGAAGCCCGTGGCTCCACTATCCGAAAGGTAATCCTCCTCTTCGGCCCCTCCACTTGTCTCGCGATCATTCTCGTCCCCATCGAAAGGGCGTCGGTGAGCCGACGCCCGCCCTTGCTCCGGGGGGAAAAGAAGCTTGCAGGGATTATCTTCCTTGCCTTCGACCTTCTCTTCTTCAGCGATCGGGGCCGACGGGTCGAAGGCGGAGGGCACATCCAGGAGGGTAGGAAATGTGGCTTTGGGAGACGAGGACGGGTGAGGCAAAGCGGGCGACGCATGTGTGCCTGTATTGTGCGGGTCGGCATCGCTCCCGGCGTCGTGGACTTGATTGTCCCCCAGGCACTCACCACTCTCTTCGAGAAGCCGGCGTCCGCCCGGGACAATAGGGGCAATCTGAGGGGGACCATTCATTGCGCGTGTGGACCGAGACGGACCTTGGACTGCGCTGATGGCACTTCCTCGCGGCAAAGAGGACGCTGTTATTGCCGCAGACAGCTCCCGTCGGACGCTCCGCAAGGCTTTTTTCAATTCTTTCACCTCCTCTTCCTTGTCCCGGAGCTGCTGCCGGGTACCCGTTAGGGCAACGCCGCGCGTCTCTGTATGCTGCTGAAGGCGTTTGATCATCTTCTGCGCCTCGTCCAAGTCCTGAGCCAGCTTCTCTCGCGCCGTTTTTTCCGTCTGCCACCGCGTGGTCAAAGCCTCGTTCGACGACCGCCGAGCCTTGAGCTGCTCTTCCCATCCTCGCCGCCTTTCCTCCTGAACCCGTCCTTTGGCCTCCGCCAGGCTTTTCACTTGCCTCTGCAGGAGAGCCAATTCCTTCCTGCTCGCGGACAAGGCGTCTTCCGCCTCGATTTTTTCCGTCTCCTTTGCCATCAATTTCCCCCGAAGGACCTGCAGCTCCCGCTCTAAATTCTTCACCCGCACGTTGGCGCGCCCTCCCCGTGACCCTCTGCCTGGAGCCAGGTGAATGTCCCTCACACGCGTCGCGAATTGGAGGGTGCAATGCGTTTCCTCCGCCGTCTCGCCCATGGAACTGACCGTGACAATCATCACCGTTCGTGCCGAGCCGCCCAAGCAATCTTGCAGCAGGTGTGTCAGACTGCTGTTCCTGTAGGGGACATGCTGGGCCTTCTTGTCCAAGGCCACCATCACGTCCCCCAGGGCGGACAGAGACTTGTTGATGTGCTGCGCTTCTTTCAAAGCGGTGCCCGTCACCGCGCTCTTATTGACCCGTTCCGAGCCGGCCAAGTCGACCAAATAAAGCCTTCCCTTCTCCCCCGTACTTCGAGAGATGACGGTCAGGAGAATGATGGAATGCGACCTCGACGAGTGTTCGTGCACGTTAGTGGCCCCAGTGCTCCGAGCCCGGTCGCCATGAGCTATGAGAGAAAGTGCCCCTTCCACACTTTCCACTGTGGCTTCCACCATGCCTGGGAGCCGGACGGCATGGTCCGCATCTTGCCGTATTTCCAGGACGGGAAGGGCGCTGGCGGATGCAGGTCTGGTGAAGGAGGGGAGGGAAGAGGAGGAGGTGGTAGAGGTAATGGAGGAGGGAGTGGCGGCTGAGTGCGGTAGGAGGTCGCGCACTTCGTCGTTGTAGACTTCGACCATGGATATGCTCACGTCATAGCCCAACAGGGTCGATTTTCCCCCGGCATTCTCTCCGTGTTTCCTGTCCTTGCCATCCTCCGTGCGAGCATCGACACGCTCTCCCTGCATCCGTCCCTCCCCTTCTCCTCCTAGCCCCAGCGCTTCCTCCGCCCCGTCCTCTCCCTTGTGCCTCCCAACCAACTCCATCAATTTCACCAGCAACCGATAGGTGATGCCAGGCTCCGCCGCAACCTCTCCCCTCCCTTTGTTCCCCCCCATTGTGTACGTCTTCCCTGACCCGGTCTGTCCGTACGCAAGAATGCAGGCGTTCTCCCCCTCCAGCACCGACAGTGCCAAGGCCTCCACGTCCAGAAACACATCCTCCTGCGTGGCCTCGGGACCCCACACACGATCGAAATTGAAGGCTTTCCAGGCTCCGCCCCTGCCGTTGCGTGAGTCCAGGAAGCCGACTTCCACGTCGCTGAGTGCCTCGACTGCGAGTACTTTGCCCCCAACCCCCCCGGCGTCGGGTGTTTGATCGCCGCGCGGGCTGGCAGGATGGGTCTGGGGTCGGAGACCCCTCATGGAGGTGGTGATAGCGCATGAGGAGGGAGATGGCGGGAGAAGCTCTTGGCTCCTGGGTGGGCGGATGCGGCAGCACACCTGAATTTTGTTCTGCATGGCTTGCAGACGCGCGAGGAGACGGGAATTGAAAGATCGTTGTGCGTAGTACTGTCGGGGGAGAGGAGGGAGCGGGGACAAGGCGCGATGGCGGTGAAAGCGTGAGGCGTGGCAGTCCCAGTGCTATGGGATCCTGTGGTGTGGGCCCGACAATACCACAGGCCGGTCTCGACCGATAGCGGCGTCTCCCCGACCCCCTCGGAACCAAGGAGCCTGAGAATCTCAAAAAGCTTGCTTCCTCCTCAAATGATAGTCGCAAACCATCCAGCCCCCCCCCCCTTTTCCCCCCTTACCTTGTGCGAATAATGCCGCAGGGCGTGTTGCAGCCGACGCACCTCCTCCTTCCTCCCTGGGACCGGACAGGGACCGGGGGCCAAGCCCATGTCTGACCCGACCCGTTCGGGGCTTTCCTTGACCGCCGCAAGCACACACCCACCTCCATTTTCCCCCCTGCTTGTCATAATTTCCCCCCCTCCGTCTGCAACGGGGGCCCCGGCGTCCGTGCGGTCTCCCTCTGCTCCTACGGAAGACGCAGACATAGGGCCCTCCGGGCAGTCCCGCTCGCGAGCAGCCTCCTGCCCCCCTGGCCGCTCTTCCTTCGGTCGTAGTCCATGCGAAATCTCGGTGTTTAGCGACCGTCCTTGAAGCTGCGTCGGGGCCACTTCCAGGTCCGTGACTCGCGCGGATACCAGGGCCCACTCCCGCGCCAGCACCTCCTTCTCGCCCACAGCAGGGGGGGCGGGAAGGGGATTCGCGGCTTGTAGATCAGCAGGGGACAGGCGTGTCGCGAATGCCTCCCCTCCGCAGCCCGCCCCCGCGCCGCCGTCACCCTCCTCTTCCTCCCTCTGGTCGTCCTCCCCCAGGCGGAAGGCCTTTAATTCTTGTCCCAAATCTGCCACACGCTGTTCGAGCCGGGCTTCCCGCTCCTTTGCCTCCGCCATCCATTCACCCTCTCCTTGATGCCTCGCGACCTTTTCCTCCGCTGAGCTGTCTGTGTCGTGCTGGCGGCGTGCCAACACAGCCTCCAAGGCCCGGACCTGGTCCTTCAGGCAGTTCTTCTCTGTTTCAAGCCCGAATTTATGAGCACAAAGCTCCTCTATTTGCGACTTGGACTCCGCCGCCGCTAATTTTCTAGCCTCTGTGAGCCCGTCCGCTTTGTGAACCTCCAAGGAGGCAACAACGTGGCGTTGCCTCTCGTGATCCTTCCTCAAGTTTTCAATGGAGCCCTCAGCACGGTCTAACTCGGCTTCCAACTCCTTCTCGATGTCCTGGGAGGATTCTCGAAGCTCATCGAACGCATTTTTGAGGAATGTGAGTTCGTCGTTCTTTTTTTGGACTTCCCGGCGAAGCGTAAGGATAATATCGGCGTCCTTGGCGGTGAGTGGAGAAGTCATCTTGTCAAGGGCCGGAGCGACGGGGCATGGGCTCACGGCGGTCGCTGTGAAGCTCACGAACAATACCACCGGAGTCTCTGGCCTATTCCCATTCCAAGCTTTGGAAGTATGGCTGGTTCTTTGCTCGCGTCCTGGTTTAAGCAAGCGGATCTAAGGCAAGCAGCTGCTCAGATGCCCGCAGGTTTAGGAGGTGCATGAGCGTCGTAAGTGTCCAAATTTTCAGCCTTCCGATTTCTTTCGATGCACACAGATGATGGAATCCAGAAAAATTGGTTTGATACACAAGTCAGGGCAAAAAGCCCTCCCATTGGCTATTGCTCCGGTCTGTCCCGAAGGCTTAAGCTCCCCTACCATGCGTTGCCCCATCCCCTCCCCTCGCGCCCCAGACCGTACCTTAAGTCTTGCGCGGCCGAGGCACGATTTACCACGAGGTTCGTCTCTTTCGTCCTGCCTTGTGCATCCTGGCCGGTCGTCTGCGCATAGAAGCCCGTAAAAAGCCCATGGCCCGTGCCATCGCCAACTTTGGTCTTGGCGAGTGGAGCATTTAATTTCTGTCGGAAGCGGTTTGAAGACGCTTTGCCGCCTTTTTCGGCACGATGGCCTTTCCAACTTCTAATGCGCTCTTATACTCACAGGTTTGTATACATGGCATCAAAATACGTCTGTTGACATCCTGAGGCCTTTGTTGGGTCGGAGTACCGTCTCTAGGTGCAGTGTCAAGACAAGCAGCAACTCTAGCAGTGACAGCAGCTCCTGAAGGGACGAGTTCGGTAGCACAGAGCTATTTTCAGTACCACAGCGATGGCAGATTTGGAAGGAGGAATTGGCACAGCAGCGGCCACTATACCTAATCCAGCGGGTGCATCGGCTGACTCTGCAGCTGCGGCTGATGAGGTGGGTGCTGCGTAGGCCTGATTAAGGCGGGAGAAGGATGGGGCAGCCATGGATGTATATGCTCACTATCATCGCGCCCTCCTTCACCCACGAATATTTCATACAGGAATCCCAGCACAATTCCTCCTTTTATCAACCTGGGAAGGGGAACATCTTAAGCTTCTTCGCCCAGGGTACTTTGACTCCCCCCCCCTCGAACACTTTCTCTTTTTTGTTCAGCAGCACGAAGAAGAGCGTGGCCGATAATTCCGTCTTCAAAGCCAACCTTTTCACCAGCCCCGCCTCCTCTGTGAAAAGCATCAATCTGGACTCTTTGCCCACCCCAATTCCCTCCCGCAAGAGCCTCGCCGCCTATCTGGAGGAGCAAACCCCCGACAAAGGACCACCCGAATCGCTTCTCTCACCGGCAGGCACGCCCTCTGCCCCCCCAGCCCCAGCCGGAACTACGGATACAGAGCCACGGGCCACGTCAAGGCGCCCCGCCTTGTCGCCGTCGTTCGTTTTCGCCGCAGCAGAGGAGGCGGCCGAGCCACGCGGGTACCGACAGGCGGGATCCGATGCACCAGGAAGCGAGGAAAAGAGCCGACCCAAGCCCCCGAGTCAAGAGCGATTTGAGCAGTCGGAGCTGCACCGACGCCTTTCCAAGGGACAGCGTGAAAGGAAGGAACGGCTTGAGATGTTCAAATCAAGGAAGCAGGAAGACACCGGCCGCCGTGCTTCCACAGGCGGAGTGCTCGATGCAAGCATGAATACCAGTCTTAATTCAAGTATTCTTGGGAGCACGCACAATACCACCCTCTTCTCCAAAGCGGCCGCTCGTCGCCGCTCCTTGCAATTGGAGGAACAACAGAAAAAAGAGCGCGAAGAACGTCGCAAAAATAATCAGCAGCAGCGACGAAAAAAGCCCGACAATAAACGGCTGTGCAACTCTGCCCGTCGCCCTCTTCGTCCGCTTTCCCTCGGAAGCTCAAATCGACGTGCCTCCTTGGCGGATGCTTCTGGTGTGGGACGGCCTGGGAAAGATGCCACGCGTCGGATCAGCACTGGCAGCACCAAAGAAAATTTCTCCTCGGCTGCCAACGTTTCCGGCGTTGGCCCTGTGGGGAAAGGGCCCAACGCACTCAAGTCCAAGAAGCCTGCGGTCACGAGCAACTCTCTTTTCACGCTCAACTTCTCCCCTCCCCCGCGTCGGGTGGAAGACCGGCAGGTGTACAATTATCAAGAGGAATCATCGAAGCGGACCTTCATGAAAGCCGGGGGAAGGCGAAGCTCGATGTTTTCGTTGGAATTCTCTCCACCGGGCAAGCCCGGCCTGACAGGAAGGAGAAAGAAGCGTCCGTCTTTGGAAATAGAAGACGAAGAGGACGACGACGACACAGAAGAAGAAGAACGAGAAGAAGAAGAAGAACAAGAAGCGGGTGTATCAGAGGAAAAGCACGTCTCTCCACGCCTTGATGGCTGGCACAGAGAGGGGGCTAAGGAGACCGGGCGCGAGCCAACGCCACCGGAGACTAGAATCACGGGAGCCGTGGTGGATTTTAGCGCATCCGTGCAAAAAGACATTGACCTGGAGGAAGGGCGCGGTAGCTTGGACGCGGATCAACTGTCATCGAAAGCTTCACCCTCGACGCCTCAGGGGCCCGAGAAACAAGGGGATCCGGCGCAGGAGGAACAGGAGCAGGACCAAGAGAAGCAGAAGGGAGGCGAGGATGATCTGGATGGCCCACGTGCCCAAGATGACTCGTTTGTGGTGGAGATCGAGGGGCTTCATGGGACAGAAGGGGAAGCGGCGGCCGCAGAACCTTCGGTCGGTTCGTCGTCCCCAAGCCATGTGGAGCAACCCGCACACATCTGCGAGCCGATAGCGGACAAGAAAGAAGGCGGGAACAGCGCAATGGCGGACGTGACGGCAGCCTTGAATGTAGCCAGCATCTCCTCTCCTTCCATTGCCGCCACTTCGCCCCCTACCGCTGCGCCTTCGGCCTCTGCCCGCAGCCCTACGGATGGGTCTAAGCAGACGACGGCCCTATCGTCTCCGCTCTTGTCTACTGCTACGGCGAACATGCAAACGCCGCAACCGCCGCAAAATGACCTTCCCACCCCTGGTTTCTCTATGGGGAGTGCTGGCAAGCCCAGGAACAATGTAAGCAGCAGCAGCAGGAGCACTAGCAAGGCTCACGCGGAGGGACGACCCATCATGGAGCTTCCACCTCTGCCCAGCACACCCTCTTCGGCTGTCAAGGCCCCGCTTGCTGCCCCGACCTCTGCAGCCTCCTCTGTCTCTTCCCCGTCAGCCTTCGAAACCTCTCAGCATCGCACGCCCATTTTCGGGCCCCTACCCCCCATGTCCGCCTCCCGCTCCCGACCTTCGGCTTCCTCTGCCTCAGCTGGCAGAACCAATCTGCTTGAGAGTCAGAACAAGAACAAGGGCTCTTCCTGCACCAAAGAAAACACTTCCAGCAGCAAGGCCTCGCAAAGAAGCCCCTCTCCGATTTCGCCGACCCGGGCGCAATTGATGGCTACCCTGGATGATTTGATAGCTGTCGAGCACGAGAAACGCGCCTTGGCAGACAAACTTTTGGAAGTGGACCAAAGAGCCACTTCTCTTCAGACAGCCCTGGGGAAAGAGACGGCGGAGGTGCAAAAAGCGCGTGCAGCGGTGGCGGCTGCACAAGCTGTGTGTACGGAGAAGGAGACAATGATTGCCGAGCTTCGTTTGCGCGTGGAGGAAACCAAGACGAAGCTTACGGCCCTGGAAGACCTCCCTGAGAAGGTAGCAGAAGCAAGCTACGCCTTGGCCACAGCTCAAGCTCAATGCGCGGAAAAGGAAGCGGCGAAGGCAGCCTTGCAGGCGCGCCTGGAGAGTACTCAGGCCCAGGTCGCAGCTTTAGAGGACTTCGCACGGAAAGCCCAAGAGTCCGCGGCAGGTTTGGCCGCCGCTCAGGCGGTTTGTTCCGAGAAAGAACGAGTCGTGGACGCGCTTCAGGGACAGCTGCAAGACGCCAAGGCGCACATTGCCAGCCTCGAAACGATTCCTGAGAAAATGGCGGAAAGTCAGCAAGCCTTGTTCACTACTCAGGCACTCTGTCGCGAAAAAGAAATGTTGGTCGGACACCTGCGGGAGCAGCTTCAGGAGCATCGCACGCGCCTGGAGGTCCTGGAGAAAGACTTGCCCGCGGAGCTGGTGCAAAGTCAGACGGCCTTGGCGACCGCGCAGGCCATGTGTGGGGAGAAGGATCGGCATGTCGCAGAGCTCAAGGAGCGTCTCGCCACCAAGGAGGCGACCTTGGCAGAGCTCGAGTCGATGCCTACGCTTCTACAGCAAGCGAAATGGGAGCTTGAAGTGGTCCTGAGGAAAAGCGAGGAGAAAGATCGGGCCTTGTCGGAAGTGCAAGAGCAGCTGAAGTCGTTGGAAGCCAGTTTGGCCGCTGCCGTCCAGAAAGAGGCCGTGATTGAACGAGAGAAGGAATCGCTCCTACAGCAATCGCGGGCGTCTCCAACCGAGGGAAAAGAGATTGTGAAAGTCGAGGTTCCAGTCCCTTGCCCTGAGACTTTGCAAGCCTTGGAGGCGGCAAAAGCTGCTTGCTGTGAGAAGGAAGAGGCGGTCGAGGAACTAGAGGAAAGGTTGGCCCAGGCACAAGCGCGCTTGGCACATTTGGAAAAGCTTCCGCAAGAGATTGAGAGGACCCGAGAGGCTTTGGCCACGTCCGAGGCACGCTGCGCCCAGGCAGGCCAATTGATGGATACGCTCCAAGAGCAGCTGGAGGAAGCCGTGGCTCGCGTGACCGGCTTGGAAGAAGAGAAGACGTCCCTCCTTGCCGAGCAAGCAAAGCTGCAGGGCCAAGTCGACCAGGTCCAGGCCCAGGCAGAGCAAGTCATGAAGGAAGCTGCTGCTTCTGCTGGTGCCAGTGACGCTTCTGGGCAGCCGTCGCCAGCCCAAGTGATGCTGTTGGAGAAGCTGCTTGTGGACCGGCAGGCCAAGGCGGACACAGACCGCGCGCGTTTGGAAGAAGAAGTGGAGGCCCAACGGGTTGAGCGCCGGGCCTTAGAGGAGGCCTTGAACATGTTCTTCCTGGCGGGAGGAATGCGAGGACTGGCGTCCAAGGAAATGGCCGCCTCTAATGCGCGGAGGGAGGAGATGATGGAGGCGCGGGCGGAGGCCTTGCGGGTGTTGGTAGAAGAAAGACGATCAGCAATGGGCAAAATCCGAGATCTTCAGGAAGAAGCAAAATATGCCTTGCAGATGAAAGACAGGGCCATGGCATCGATTCAAGCGGAACTGGAGGAGAAAGAGGGCCACATGGTGGCACTTAAACAACAGCTGGTAGAGGAGCAGGAGGCGATCGCGACCCTTAACGCCAAATTGACGCATAAAGAAGAAGAAATCCAAAAATGGAAGAAACACACGGAAAGGACTGGGCACCAGGAGGAGGAAGTACAGGCCTTGATGGCCCGGGTGGAGAAAGAGGAAGCCGAGGTCTGTCAACTGGATGGGCTGATCCAAGAGAAGGAAAACGATATCGTCAATCTCCAGCGAGCACTGCGCGAGAAGGAAAACGAACAACGAACCTTAAAAGCAAAGGTCGAGGAACGAGAGAAAGAGTTGGAGGCGATGCGACAAAAATGGGAGGCGGCTGAGCGGGAGGGACGGAATCAGCGACGGGTGCGGGAGGAGGTCGAACGGCAAGTGGAACAGTTGACTGAAAGCCTGACTGGCAAGGAGAAAGAATGTGACAGCCTCCGCGGTCGGTTGGCTGCTCAGGCTGAGGATCGGGCGGCGTTGGAATCCTTGCAGGATGCTCAGGTCCAGGTGAAAGCCCTGACGGCGACTCTGGAGAAAAAGAACGCAGATATGAGCGCCTTGAAAGAGCGGGTCTTGGCAGCAGAGGAAGCAGGAGCTCTGGCCAGGGAAGAAGTTGCTGGGCAGGTGGAGGGCTTAGAGTCAACGTTGCAGGAGAAGGAGCACGAGCTGAATGGGCTGATGGATCGACTGATGGCCGCACAGGAATACAGGGAGGAAATGCAGGGAAAACTGGCAAGGCTGACGGAGGAGAAGGACAAGGCCGAGGCCGCCGCGGCAAAACTGAAAGAGGAGGATCGAACCAAGAACGAGGATATGCAAAGGCTCCTCATGGACAAAGAAGAGGTCAAGGCGAAGCTCCAGCGTCTCGAAGAGGAGCAACAGACGGCTGCAGCAGCCGTCCGGCAAGTGGAGGCAGAGAAAGAAGCCGTCCTTGCGGAAGCTCATTCGGCCCAACAGTACGTGCTTGAACTTGAGAAGAAATGCAGCGGATTGCACCAGGAGATCGAGAAGGAAGCCCAGGAAAAAAGTCGTTTGCTATCGGGGAACGAATCCCTCAGCGCGCAGGTACAGGAAAAGGAAAAAGAACTTGAGGCGTTGGCCCGCAAATTGGTGTTGGCGAAGGACTTGGCTGCTTCTTTGGAGGAAGAGCTCAATGGAAAAGCGAAAGTCTTGAGTCGAGAGCTGGTCCCAGAAAGCGGCCAAAGTCAATCCTTCTGTCGCCCTCAGACGCGCAGTGCCACAGCGGCTGCAAAAGTAGTGGCTGCGTCTACAGACCCGCCATATCCTGCAAGCAATAAATTTGGCGACGGCCGCAAAGACCTGGATGCCCAGGTGGCGGAGCAGCGTCGGCGCATGTCTTCCATGGTTGAAGAACAGCGGCACACTATCGAGGGGCATGCCGCGGAGCTTGCACGAGAAAAAGAGCTACGCGAGGCGATGGAGCTGCATATGCTCGACGCTCGCGATGCGGCACGAGCCTTGGAAGCAGATAAAATCCGTTTGAAGGAGGAGATGGAAGAATACAAGAATAGGGTCATGCGTTTGGAGAAGGAAAAAATGGACATGTCGCACTCGCTGGGACGGATGGAGGAAGATTGCGAACGGGCAGACATGGTGCGAAAAACGCTGCACAATCAGTTGGTTGAATTAAAGGGGAACATTCAGGTGTTTGTGCGGGTGCGGCCTCCCTTATCGGAGTCGGGCGAAATGAGGGTCAAGTCTCTGCCTTTTAAATTCGTCGATTCCGGTGTAGGCGTCGGTACCGCCGGGGAACGCTACTGCCGCGCTTTGGAGGTCCCAGTGGCAAGGATGCACGAAGATGACGGATTCGAAATGGGGATGGCAGAGAAGAAACGTTTTTGCTACGATCAGGTCTTTACGCCACGGACGAGTCAAGAGGCTGTGTTTGCGGAAGTCCTACCGCTTGTCCAAAGCGCCTTGGACGGTTACAAAGTCTGCGTCTTTGCCTACGGCCAAACGGGATCCGGGAAGACCTACACGATGCTGGGGCCCAATGGCGGCCGCCTGAACGCGAGCAGCGGCCACCGTCGCCCAAGTATATCCTCCGCCATGTTGCCCGCGGAGCGAGGGATCGTCTACAGAAGCGTCGAGCATGTCTTCGGGGCCGTGGCTGCGCTCAGAAAGCATGGATGGCGTTTCGGGTTGTCGGTAGAGATGGTGGAAATTTACAACGAGAATTTGCGAGATTTGCTCGCCCCAGACGTGGACGAAGGTGGCGGTGGCTATTGCTTTGAAAGCTCTGGAGATGGAAACGGCAAAGGCGCCTTTGCGGCCAGCGCCGACCGCGACTGGCTCGGGGGAAGCCAGGCCACGGGTAAAGGGAAGAAGAGAGCGAGCAAACGCCTGCAAGTCAAGCACTGTTTCAGCGCCTCCGCCTCGAACGACGCCATCCCTGGACTCACGTCGCTCCCCGTGCATTCAGCCTCGGAGGTGGCCGTGTTGGTGTCGGAGGCTCTGGGTCGGCGTTGCGTGAAGCGAACGCGCAGCAACGCCGACTCTTCCCGTTCCCACGTCGTTTTCACTCTGAAAATTGAGGCAGAGTCCTCCCGAGGGATCGTGCGACATGGTTGCTTACACATGATCGACCTGGCGGGGTCGGAGAGAATGAAGAAGGCGGACAGTGCGGCCCATCCCGAGCTCTTGCGGGAAGCTCAGAGCATCAACAAGTCGTTGAGCGCACTTGGGAACGTGATGACGGCACTGCACAAAAAAGAGAAGCACGTACCATTCCGGGAATCCGCCCTGACGAGTCTGTTGCGACACTCTCTGGGCGGGGACTGCAAGGCTTTGATGGTCTGTAACCTGTCTCCCTCGGCGTCTTCCTTGCCGGAGAGTCTTCTCTCCCTCCGTTTTGCTCAGAAGGTGAATGCCGTAGTGACCCACAGAAAATAGTGGACATGAATATGGCCAGGAGGGGCATGGTGGAGAATCAGACGCACTCTTCCGAATGCGGAGAAAGGGAAAGCTTGGAGGAAAGAAGTTAACGGTAGAGGAACCTGTGACGAGTTTTTAATCTTCTCCACAGTATACATCCGAGGAGACTTAGTCAAGCGCAAAAGTTTTAATACGTACACACGCAAAGGAAGACTTGAGAAGCGGACCCAGGCACCTTGTCAAACTGATACTTATTTTCGTTGAGAGGGAAATTATGCCTATGTCGTCGCCAATCTTAGATCCATGCAAATGCTAAATTTCTACAATTACATCCTATTTACATATGTGCTGAGCACAAATAAGAGCTGGGTTGCCTCGTGTCAAAGTCAATTCGAGGCCCGAACGATCTTGAGCGGGAAGACTTCTCCCACTTCTCTGACTTCCAGGCCTCGTGTGCCTCGGATTTCAAGATAATGGAATTTTACCACGAATGAGCATGAAGGCTTTAAACATAACATCCTCCCGTAAAAGACGGTTGCTTGACATCGGCGTAATTGAGCTGACTTTGCCATACTTTCTGGACATTTAACTAGCCATTAAAGCCTTCACACTTCCTCGTTACAAAAGATACATCAGTTCACATAAGATGTACTCAATCAAGCATGTCATGCAACAATACTTCCTCGGCCACTCACATCCACCACACCCGAACAATTTGTGCCCATCCGTAAGTAAAGGCGAGAATCCCCGTGAACCCCAACGTACCCATTACGGTATCCCACATGCGTTTTCCATCCAACCTGAAACCATTAATGCCCCATGCTCGTGCCATATAGACGGAGGGCCCTACCCATCCATAGAATGCCAAGCACCGGGCCACGACATGAGCACTCGGAACCGCCTTTAAGGTGAGAATGTAGGCCGCCGCGAATTGTACCAGCGCGAGCATAATCCAGTCAACGTGTGCCATTGCAATGTCTCGCGACCGCAAGCGCGTCGCAAGGGAGGAACTTTGTCCCCATGCTTGATGAGGTAGTAACATTGCCCAGCCGAGAATGGTTGTGAAAAGGATCTGCAGGACGCCGCTTCGGACAAGGAACTCAGTCGGCCCCGCAGACCCCAGAAGCGGCCACACCACTCCCATTTGTGCCTTCCCGATAAATTTAAAGCCCCTGTTACTAGGTGTGTCATAGCTCGTAAGCGCGGGGCGTACGGCCATGGCTGCAAGCCCCTTTCATTAAGAGGGGTCTTTGTCGGCGACGCCAGCGACTGTCTGTCGTGTTTTCAGACCAAAAAATCCACCTCGTAGAATACTCGAAGACAATCATCGGAATTTTAACTCATTCTGGAATTTCTTTGTCTGCGGGCACGTCAGAGAGCACGGGATAAGAAGAAGCGGGCATCCCTTCATCGCCACCGACGTCGTCGTCAGCAGCTGAAGTAGCTGTGGAGTTGAGGCCTTCTTCCACCTTTCATGATTGCCACGACCTTCCACATCACCTTGGCCACTTGTGCGTCTCTTTTCCTACTTTTTGCCTTCTACGACACGTCCACCGCCATGTTTCGCACGGGCTATCAACGAGGAACGACGGCATTTGCCTCGCCTCCTGCTTCTTCTTCGTGGATGCGTCGTCTCACCACCAAGGGCTCTGCGGCTACGGCAACGTCAGCCTTCACTTCCGTCGGCCGCCGTCCGTCTTGGGGACTCCTCTCTGCCGCCTTTCTGGTCAGCTCGTCGCACCGTGTCGCCAGTGCCACGAATCCCTCCGCTGGCTTTTGCAGCAGCTCTGCCAATAAGCACCCTCTTCCTCCTTTTATCCCCGCACAAACGTGCTTGGCAGCACACGCACCGGGAGGCGCCGACGGTGTTTCAGTTGCACCGGCTCCAACTTCCGCGTCCCTGGAGGCCGTTTCTTCTCCCACTGAGAAAAAAAAACTCCAGCCCAAGTACCGATCCTCCTACCGACAGCCGGATTATTGGATCCGGCATACCGACCTCCTCTTCCAAATCGTGCCCGATCCCGACCCCGAGGCCCCTGCTGGGGCGACGGTGACGTATGTGACGTCCACGCTGACCGTGGAGAGGAACGCCGACGGCGGTCCGTCCCCAGGCATTCCGAACTTGGAACTCGATGGGGAGGAGCTGACCCTGATGGAAATCAAGGTAAGGGGCGGTAGGAAATAAAGCGAGGGAGAGAGGGAACGGGTAGAAGAATGTGTGAGCGATGGCATGAGGCTACCAATGGCAAGCATTTGCTCTGTTGGCAAGGTCCCGGGGAGCGTCGGACCTGTCTGAAGGACGCGGACGGGTGTTTAAGACCCTTTCCTCCTCTTCTCCGACCTTCCCTTCCGCACCAGGTGAACGGGCAGCCGCTGCCATGGGACGGGTCCGCCTTTTTGTTGACAGCGGAGTCAGATTTGTTGGTTCTAGGCAAGACCATCGAGGCTGCGTCGGCGGGGAAAGGGGACTTCACCCTGCAGACGCGGGTGCTGATCCGGCCCGAATCCAATTTCGAGCTGTCAGGCTTTTACAAGTCGGGGAGCGCCTACTGTTCGCAGTGCGAGGCGGAGGGTTTCCGGCGGATCACGTACTACCTGGACAGGCCGGACGTGATGGCCCGTTTCAAAGTCCGGATCGAAGCCGAGAAATCGAAGCTGCCCCTCCTCCTCTCGAACGGGAACAAGATGGCTACGGGGGAGTTGGACGGCGGGAGGCATTTTGCCGAGTGGGAAGATCCCTTCCCCAAGCCCAGCTACCTGTTTGCAGTCGTGGCGGGGGACTTGGGCAGCATTGTCGACAGCTACAAGACCATGTCGGGAAGGGACGTGCGTCTGGAGATTTTCAGCGAGCACGAGAACGTGGATAAGCTGGAGCACGCCATGACCAGCCTGAAGAAGAGCATGCGGTGGGACGAGGAAGTTTACGGCCTCGAGTACGATTTGGACGTGTACAACATCGTGGCGGTCAACGATTTCAACATGGGGGCAATGGAGAACAAGGGCCTCAACGTCTTCAACACGGCCTTTGTCCTGGCCAAGCCCGAGACGGCCACCGACACGGACTACGAGCGCATCGAGGGCGTGATCGCGCACGAATACTTCCACAATTGGTCGGGGAACAGGGTCACCTGTCAGGATTGGTTCCAGCTCACCTTGAAGGAGGGCCTCACGGTCTTCCGAGACCAGCAGTTCAGCGCCGACATGGGTTCCGCGGCCGTAAAACGGATCGAGGACGTCCGGGTCTTGCGCGCCCGCCAATTCGCCGAAGACTCGGGGCCCCGGGCCCATGCGATTCGCCCGGAGTCCTACATGAAAATGGACAATTTCTACACCTCCACCGTGTACGAAAAGGGGGCTGAGGTGATCCGCATGTACCACACCCTGTTAGGCGCGGCCGGCTTTCGGAAAGGGATGGACCTCTACTTTGCCCGCCACGACGGCTCGGCTGTGACCTGCGATGATTTCCGTGCTGCCATGGCCGACGCGAACGGCAAGGATTTCTCACAGTTTGAACGCTGGTACTTGCAGGCTGGAACGCCGGTGGTGACTGCGAAGGGCGCCTACGATGCGGCCCAGAAACGCTACAGCCTCACGCTTTCTCAGCACACGGCGGGGACGGTTGGCCAGCCCAGTAAGCTCCCCTTCCACATTCCTGTGCGGGTGGGGCTGCTGGGAAAAGACGGTCGAGAGCTAGTGCCCTCGACCGTCCTGGAATTGAAAGAGGCCTCTCAAACGTTTGAATTTGAGAACGTGGAGGGAGGCACGCCCGTCGCATCCTTGCTCCGAGGTTTCAGTGCCCCTGTGCGTCTCAAAGTGGAGCAGAGCGACGAAGACCTGGCCTTCCTGATGGCACATGACACGGACTCTTTCAACCGATGGGAAGCCTCCCAGAAGTTGGCGAGTCAAGCGATTTTGGCGGCGACAGAGGCATTGGCCGGGGGCGGCACCCCTGCCCCCCTGGCCCCCACCACGGTGGACGCGTTCCGAGCCGTGCTCAAGGCGGGTTTGGACGACACGGGCGTGGACAGGTCGCTCCTGGCTTACGCGCTGTCATTGCCGGATGAGCTTACCTTGTTGGGTGAGATGGACGTGATGCGACCGGTGGCTTTGCACGAAGGGCGCGAGCACGTGAAGAAAAGCTTGGCTGCGGCATTGAAGCCGGAGTTTATGGACGTCTATCAGGCCCTGGACAAGGACGTGCCATATCTGGTCACCCCGCAGGAGATCGGCCGTCGTCGGATGAAGAACGTTTGTTTGTCGTACCTGTGCACAGAAAAGGATGCCGGAGCCGTGGCGTTGGCAGCCTCGGCATTTCAACGCGCCACATGCATGACGGATAGCATTGCCGCCTTGGCCTGCCTGTCCTCGTTGCCGGGGCCCGAGAAAGACGAGGCATTGGAGATCTTTTACACCAATGCGAAAGGAGACCCTTTGGTGTTGAACAAATGGTTCTCCATTCAGGCCCTGGCCGACCTTCCCGACACCATCGACCGGGTCCACGCCCTCACGCGACACCCTGACTTCAGCATGAAGAACCCGAACCGTTTCCGGGCTTTGATTGGGGCATTCGCCAATTCCAATCTGGCCCGTTTCCATGCTGAGGATGGACGTGGCTACGTCCTTGTTGCGGACATGGTCTTGGCCGTCGACAAATTAAATCCTCAGGTGGCGGCGCGTTTGGCGGGTGCATTTTCCTTGTGGCGAAAGTTCGAGAATACCCGTCGAAACATGATGAAAGCTCAATTGGATAGGTTGATGGCCGTGGGAGACGGCTTGTCAAGGGACACCTTTGAAATTGTCAGCCAAAGTTTGCTTTCAGCTTAAAGGGATGGTGTAAGGGATCGCTTTAATAAATTTATCATCTTTCTGGCAAAGAAGCGAAGAAATAGCGTGGTGAGGTATACTTTGCTTTGCTTGAATCCACTTGTCAGCACCATCTCTTTGCTTTGGTACTCTCAATTAGGAGGCTTTAATTAAAGCACTCTGTCTGTCTCTTTCTCTACGGCCCATATCTTTGCCAAGGCATGCGGGGTCACGGGACGCACACATTTCGGAAAACAAAATGCAATTCAGTAGACTGGGGTAAGATTCTCGTACATGCGCCACATGGAAATATCGATATGTGGTGAAAAAACAGTGCACACGTCCAGTCCATCGGACCTTGTCATACTAGTTTTATTATTCCAACATGCGATAGACCCACTTCGCGTTTTAACGTTGCTGGAATCAGGGTATGCGTCACCACGACAAACATCTCTCACTGGAACATGTTGTTGATTAAGTATCGCACGCACACAGGGGCAATGACCCTCTCCAGGTGTCTTTGGATGCTTTCAGTGCTTGTCCTCATAGCCTTCAGTGCTCTTTCGTCAGCTTTTTATCTATCTTCGCGGCCTGCTTTCAATGTCGCAGACGGAAAACCTCCTACACCCACCTCCTTACCTGCAGCACTTGCGTCCTGGCCTTTGACCCTTGTTGCCTCCTGGAAAAGTCCTCGTGTCCTCCTAAACACTGAAAATTCTCTTCTGCAGGCGATACAAGGTCTGGATCGGAGAGAGGTTCAAAACTCTGTACAGGCGCAGGGGCGCGTGAGCGGTCTCATCAAGGAACTGGAAGCTGCGAAAGGGATCCTGAAGGCCACCACAACCCGGGAAATCAATGGAAAATGGCGCTTGCTTTACACCTCAAGCGACAGTACTGCCTCTCCCATTCAGAACACTTTTGTTGGCAATAAGGCCTTCGCGGTCTACCAAGAGATAGACATCGCGCCTTCAGCATCCTCCTCTGCGCCGGGGACCGTCACCAACATCGTCGACTTTGGTGGTGCCATCGGGGCCCTTAATGTCCAAGCATTAGCCAGCACACCATCACGACCAATACCCAATTTCGTCCCTCGACTAGGGGACGGGAGGTTTTTCGGCCTGAATATCTTGGGCATCAGCAAAACCGAGGTCCCTCGGGACAGCGACCCGGACGATCGTGAGTGAGGGTGCGGGGGGAACTGGAAGACAAGAGAAGGCACGACACGCATAAGGCCTTCACAGCGTTGAGCAAGCGAGAAGAAGGCAGGCAATGGCTGCCTCAGGCTGTAGCACATGTCGATCGTTCTCCTTTTCCCTCTCTAGGTCTTTTCTCTCTCGCCCCCCTGTCCCAACGCCTCTCTCTCTTTGCTCCCCCCCTCCCTTTCCTTTCGATAGGCATCGACTTTAAGTTCGACAATGCTGGCTTTGACCTGGGCTTACTGCCCTTTCGCATCCCCTACCCCGTGCCTTTCCGCCTGCTCAACGACGAGGTGAAAGGCTGGCTTGAGGTCACCTACTTGTCGGGGCGGCTCCGGGTCTCCCGGGGCAACAAAGGGACTATATTTGTGCTGGAGAAAGTTGAGGAATCGTAATCGAGAAGGCAGATAGCGGCAAGCCGTGTGCCTCGGTTTGGGTGCTAGAAGAGGTCTTTTGTCTCTGTCAGTGCAAGGGTTGTAACTTTGGGCATGGATGTGGGAATACCGAGGGCTGAGTAAGGAGACGCACACCTGTCAGAAAGCATTTTACATTTACATTGATTTCTACACGATTATGGTCTCATTGGTATTCGAGGTGTTTGGTGGGAGAGGACAGGGCACACTCAGCCCTTCGCCCCTTCCCTTCCTCCCGGGGGGCCTCGGGCCGTGTTTGACCCCGTTTTTCCTTCGTACTCTTCCCCTCCATTCGAGCCCAAGAGGACTAAATCCAAGGGAAACGAAAGGCAAAGCATCTGCTTGTTCGGCGCCACGTCCCTGACGTGGCGCACAAGCACGCGCCCTGCCTCTTTCCCTCCCTCCAGCCGTTCCACCTCCACTCCCAAGGCCGACGCGGCGCGTTCCACCACGTCTTGCGCGCCATCCTCGGCTCTACTGAAAGCATAGACGTGCACTACCACCCCTTTCCCTCCCAAGTATCCGAACAAGAGTCTTTTCCCCTCTCGTTTTTTCGACCCTCCTCCTCCTGGCGCCACCCTCGGTCCTTCCCTCCCCTCTTTTCCTCCCTCCCTCCCCTCCTCCTCGGAAAAGACGTCCAAAAAGCTCAATGCCAGGGCGGGGAGGTTCATCAAAATGTGGCTAGCGGGTTTCTTCTCCCGGGCGAGGGCACGTAGGAAGTCCCTCCCGTCCTGATTGTACGGAACGAGGTGAGGGGGCCTGGGGGAGGAGGATCGGGGGGGGCGTGGGAGGGCGGAGGAAGAGGGAGTCGCGGCGGCCCTTGCGGAAGAACCCTTGGCATCAGGAAGGCTGGGCGGGAGTGAGGAAGGGGAGGAGGGCGGGACGGAAGGAAAGGAGAGAGGCACCTTATTCAAAGCGGCGTTATGGCAGAGATACCGGTAACTCTCCGGGTTCAGATCATTCGCGTAGACCTGACATCCGCGCACGGCCAAAGGCAGGGCGAAAGGCCCCACGCCGGCAAACACATCCCACACCACCACGGGGGGGGAGTCACCAGTGTCGTCCACCCTTTCAAGCCCGGCCCCCGCCCTCCCTCCCTCCCTCCCTTCCGAGACGACCAGGTCGATTATCCGGGCATGCTCCCCCTGCAACCGGCTGTTCCAGTACACCTGCGCGTAGTCAAACTCGAACCAGGCACCGCTCTCCTTGACCCGGACGCAGGTGTCCTTCTTCCCTCCTATCACCTCCAAGGGCAGGACCCGGAACGTGCTCCCGATCTCCCCGACCTTGTTCACGACCGTCTGGAGCCGCTTCCTGTTCTTGTCCAGCACGACCTGGGCGATCAGGTGCTTGTACGGAAGGACTTCGGCCCGTAAATTCAAGTGGGCGAGGTGGCCCACGGTCTCGAAAGAGGCAGGAACGTCCAGGGAGGGCGGCAGGAGCCGGCGGAGGGCTTGGTGAAGGGAGAGGTCCTCATAGGTGAGTCGGACAGGGAGTCCGGGAGGGGGGAGCAAGGAAGCGGAGGGAATGGTGCGGAGGAGGTTGTCGACAAGCTCCTGGCATCCAGTTGACGTTTCGGACCCGTGTGACGTATGCGTCTGGTGCTGCCGAGTCGGCTCCGCACAACCCCTAGCACGTGCGAACCCGTCCTCTTGGTCATCGTCCAACATTGGAGGGCAAAAGAGGAGCAGACGTTCGTCTGGCTTAAGCGGAGGGTCGAGCGGCAGCGTGCATCGTCCCGGCAGGATTACACTCCGTTGCGTTGTGGAGCGGAAGAGGAACGGAGATAGCGATTGAATAGCGTGGTGGCAATAGGCAGCAGGAAGGCGCAAGGCTTGCACGTGGCACTCTCTCTCGAATAGGCTTTTGTCCAACAAGGACGGGATGGAGGAGTCGTGTTGAGATGAAGACGATGAGAGAGGACGCGGAGGAGATAAGATGGGGTGAGGAGACGAGGCAGGGTTTGAAGATGAAGAGGACGAGTAAGAGGAGTTAGACGACGGGAACGCAGATAATGTAGAGGAGGACAACGAGGAAGTGGTAAAGAAGCAGCGGGAGCGCTGTTCGACGAGAAAACCGGACGTATACCGGCCGGCTCGAGGAAATGTGCCCATTAAGCCGAAGATGAAGGCATGTCGGTGATGTTGTAGTAGTTGCTGTCGACGCCTGCCCCAAGCTGTTGCCGCGGCTTGGCCACACAGTACGCAGAACGCAAGACTTTGAGACAAAATTCCCGACACTTTCATCATCTGCTAGTCTCGCAGACAACCTCCCTCCGTCCTGGTCCTCCTGAGAATGCGGAAATAAGAATGAACCTCCTTGATCTTTCTACGTCTTAGGTTGGGCCATGTACGTCTGTTCGATCAATCTTGCCGTGGTTTCCGCTCGGAAAAAGCCGAAGAGAATAAGATGGTCTACTCTTTTCACGCTTCCGTATCAAGTCTTTTAAATGCAGTCATTGGCCACGAGATGTGACATAATCTTTGTCATGTTGAGTAGCGTCGGCTATCCGTGTAGCCACCGAGAGACCATCCAGGAGGTTTTCGGTCCTGGGAGCCGGGCATCTAAGTCCGATAAGACAACATTTTGGTCGTTTTCTATGATGAGAGTTTAAATTAAAATCGATAACTTAGAAATTATAAATCAGCTCTGGATGTCTCTTCACTCAGACATCGTTTCAGCTTTCTACTGCGCGGCAAAATCGCAACATACGGAACGCTCTCAACCAGAAGTAAGTCCAGGCGTACAGACCAGTGAACGTATTTTTAAGAACCACGCAATGGTATCGAACGATTCATACCGAGATATAGGCAAATATAGCTGTATAAATCATGGGTCTTCGTTTGATTAAATTTCTTTCTTTGCCGGTGTTCAGACACTCCGGTAGATCTCATCGTCCCAGCGGGAGGAAGCTATCTTTTGCTTTCAACTCCTTGTTTCCCATCCTCCTGCTCTGGTCGCGTTCCGCTATGTTACATACGCCTGTTTTTGGTTCTCCCAAAATCTCCTTCCTCCGCCATACGCTTCTCCTTAGCAGCCCTACCACCGCAACTCTCTTTTCCCGTGGCAAGCATCATTGTGTGAAATCAAGCGGTGATGCCTCGAATATTAATGATTATCCAAGACCCCACGATGCTCATGGGGGATTGTGGACAAGGGCGTAATTCATGGCTGCGTTATACGCGCCGCAAAACCTACCTGTTATCAGGGCCTCCGCAAATTCACCCGAGCGTCACACAGTTAAAATTGAGAGAGCCTGAGCTGTCTTCCTTACTCTTCCTTTAACCGGGTTGCGTTCGGATGCAGCCACCAATAGGTTCCAAAGCAAATGACCACCACGATGTCGGCCAAGCCCGCTAAAACAAACGTCCGGGGGGTCCCGACACGGTGCGACAGGCCTCCGCCGATGAGCGCCCCTGTGGATTGTCCTAACCCGCCATACATACCGTTCAAGAACCCCAGCATCGTCGCACTTAATCCAGGAGGGCTAATTTTATGCGTGTAGTAGGTGGAGGAGGCCCACATGGCCGCAAAAGTGAACCCTCGGAGTGCCTCCGCAGGCAGACCTTGCCAGGGATTGGTGATAGACGCGTAGATGAAAAAGCGGAGAATGTAGGAGCACAAAGAGAGGATCAGGACCCCCATCACGCTCAGTCGCCGGGTCACATTCCCGGAAAACCAAAACATGGGGACGCCCGTGACGGAGGAAAAAAAGCGCGAAACTCCCATCACGGTTCCTTCCCCTCCGACTTCCCGTAAGCGTTTGTAGGCAAAGTTCTCTATGACGCCGCTCGAGACTCCGATCACAAAGACAAGGAAGAAAAAGATGAGGGCGTCTGGGTTTCGAACAACGATACCCAGCCCTTCTCGAAAGCGCGGTTTGGCCGGCTGGGAGGAGAGGGCCGCAGAGGGTGCCTTGGAAGGGAGGGCGACAGCCCCCGGCCCCTCTTCCTTGGCCATGGAGGACTTTTCCGACTTGTTCGTGGAGGCCACAGGTAAGGGAGGGGAAGAGGGCGCGGGGGCTGGAGGGGTCGGGTTGAAGCGACGCATGATCAGGAGGGTGGGGAGGGAGATGAGGGCATGGACATAGAAAGCGGCCTTGTACCCCCCAAACTTGTGGTTCATCAAGCAAGGACCCACGATGCAGCCCGCCAATCCGAAGCCAAACTGGCCCCACAGGCGTTGTTTCCCGTACTCCCGCTTGTCCTCCAGCAGGTTCAAGACGCTGCTGTCCAGCAAGGGCCGAACGGGGGCATTCAAGACCGCGGTGCAGAACACCAAAATTGCCAGCCATCCGAAGGTGGTCCGCCAGATGAAAAGCAGGCGGGAGACCACAGAGGCGACGAAGGTGAAGAGAAGCACGTCCTTGTGTCGGCCCGTTTGGTCGGCCAGGGCCCCCCAGAGAGGGGCGACAACGAAAGTGACGGCCGGCGTGATGGCTCCCAACATGCCAATTTGCTTGTCGGGGAGGCCCAGGGAGTGGTAGTAGACGGGGAGGTAAGGCATGACTGCTCCTAAGGATCCATAGAAGAGGAGGAATAGCAGCTTCACGGTCACCAGGGTGGAGGCCATTGATGGCGGCCCATCCCCAGTCTGCAATGCCACCGGGGCCGTGCTGGGAGAGGCCCCTTTGGGCACGGCGGGGACGGAACGTTCGCTGACGCTCCCGCCACGCACTCGACGACAGAGCTGGCTCACGGTGTCGTCGAGTGCAGCAAGGGACTCCGCGGTTTTATCTTGCAAGTGGCTGGAGGGCCTCGAAGAAGGTCTGCCCCCTGTCAAGGACGGTCGCCGCGCGGGACGGTCGACAGGGAGGGCGCCGTCCGCTTTCGAGCCGGGGCTGCGCATGCTTCTTGGTCTCGCTTGCTTAAGAGCAGGAGCTGAATGAGGTATTCTCGTTTTTCTTCCTTGCACCTCCGATGCCTGCTGTATCCGGGCAAGGGGGCTTTTCCGGGAGTCGAATGCCTCTCTGGGGCTTGGAATCCTGTCAGCTTCTCCGCCGCGTCTATTTCCAGGGCGACGCCCTCTTCTTCCACTACTTAGATCGCGGCTTTGGCTTCTCGATAAGCAGCTGTTGCTCTCCCCGTGAGGCCCGATGCTTCGGGCAGAACCAACCACAGCTCCGAGCAAGAGGAAGGCGCCAAGAACGACAGACGCAGATCGAATGTGGAGATTCCTGTTTCTGCGACAGGCAATCCTCCTCATACCTAGCTGAATAGTGGGCAAATCTTAACTGACTGGTGGGAAGCTCGAAATGTGCCAGAGACCCGACAAGGCTGGAAACGGGAAAAAAAATGAAGAGGCGCCTGAGCTGCAGACTTGAGGTGCAATGTGTCCTGACAACCGTGATTGGAAATGACGACCCTACCTGATTTTAGCAAGTACAGTAATAATTAAGAGAGTTGAGGAGAAGAATCAGGTGATTGTCATGTGTTTAGAAGCGCATCTCGGGTAATTCACTTGCGGTGCATTGATTGAACTGAGGGTGGCCTCTGTCTCACCGCGCGAGTTGAACAGCTCCAGGCACTTTCATACAATGAGTCGAGGGTCCAACAAAAATACACACGCTCCGCCATCTCCACACACCCCGCATTCGTCGACATTCGTCACCAAACCAGCGGGCTGCGTACAGTCAGCCAACACGACACAGGCGATCGGGAAGGAGGGGCAGGGGAGACTTCTAAAACTAGCTGGCAACTAATAGCTTGAGGCGCCAAAATGGCGCGAAAATGAGGAATGACGTCAGTCGATGCCGGCCCATACCCCCTGCCAAATTCATCAAGAGTGACCTGAGGGGCAGAATCATTTCCCGATTTCAAGCTTGAATGGTAATGTTTCATCTGTGGGGAGCTGTTATCCCCATCATGGCGTCCTCTTGCGTCAAAGGCAGTGCAAAAGCCATCAACAATTTTGCCGCGAAAATCGACACAAGATCTTGCCATCACATCAAACTTCTTTTTGGGGTCTTATCTCAAGTAAGAAATACTATGGCTAGAAGTGCATGCTTCGATGCTGTTTAGCTACTTGCCCTCCCGCTCATTTGTGTAATCACGTAAATCAATATGCGCGCGTTTACTCTCTGTTCACAAATATTTACTGTCATACCTGACCTAACACACATCCCTTCGAGGTCTGGCGCATGCCCCGGGATATAAGAAACCTTATGGTCGACAATGGGGAGACAATTTCCTCACATCCAAAATCTTTCACCTTCTCAGCGATAATCCCTCTATCTCAATCCCTATTATATGCCCTCCTTGTTGTTTGTGCCTCTCGCCCCTTTATGAGCATCCCAACATTTCTTTCTAACGTCGGTCTACACTATCACCTCACAGAAATGCAGGGTCAGCCTTTACATCCGTCCCGTATCCCATGCTCTTACAACGATCACAACGTGAATAATCTCACGCACATTATTTGGGTGTCCTGTGCTTTATACCATGATAGACACGTCCGCCTTCCGAAGGCTGACAACATCATTTACCCCGAACACGTTGTACATCCGCAGCATCTTGTAAGTCCCTACCTTGGCCGCGTCTTGCACCACCCAGCATGCCAGACAATACAACCACACGTACAATGAGAGCAAATGCGGCGGGAGTCTCGCCAGGCCGATGGTGGGGATCCCGTCCGGGTAGGAGGCCGGCCAGATGTTCGCCATGAGGGTGGACAAGGAACAGGCAATGGTCGCCGCAACAAGCAGAATTTTGCTGGGAGGATTCGTCCAAAAGAAATCGTCTCCGGAGCGCGCGGAGAAGAGGGTAAGGAAATCGGAAATGGATACCTTCAAGTAGATCATGGAGGTGACCTGGGCGTAGGAGAGGCCCGCCAAGCCGAAGCTTCCCCAGAGCCCGTGGGGATTCCAAGAGTCCAGCGCGACCCAAAGAAGGAGGAGGGAGGAGAGACAGGCCACGCCCCCAAGGGCGGCAGAGACGGTGAAGAGTACACGCAGGTTCCACTTGTCGGGGGTGGTGGAGGGCGACACGGTGTCGTATCCGATGGAGATGAGGGTCCCGTCATTCAAGAGGGTGATGAGCATCAGCATCAGCACGGGCATGTGGAAAAACGCGGGCCAGTTGTCGTCGTCACCTTCGGGTTGGAATTCGATCGGGTGCAGCGTGAGGACGGCCACGAAGAAGAAGACTAAGAGCTGGAGGGTGGCGGCGATACGGTAGGTGATGAACGAGGTCATGCGCCCGAAGACAATGCGCGCTACCACGATGGCGGTGACGATGGTGGAGAGGCCCGGTTTTGTCAATACAATGTCGGCAGCAGCACGGGCGGCATCCGTAGCGCCCTGGACAGCCACGCCGACGTCGGCCCGCTTCAAGGCAGGGGCATCGTTGACGCCGTCTCCGGTCATCCCCGTCTAGGTGGCGGTCAAGGAAGGAGAGGGAAAGGGGGAAAGTGGGGATTTGTGAGGGCTCCGTGGGTGACCGATGCGTCGAAAGTCATTTGCGCATCCAAGGGGTGTATGGCCCGAGCGGAAGAAGACACAGGGGCACGGGACACGACGAAAGGGAGAAGGGGCATGGACCTCAAAACGGCCGGTCATGCCAGAGAAGCCTCTTGGATCTTTACCTTGTATCCGCCCTTGCGCAGGACTTCGACGATCAAGAATTTGTGCTCGGGGAAAACCTGGGCAAAGCCAGAGGTCTCCTCCACGTATTGGAAATGATCCATCAAGTCCGGCGGGGGTTTCTTCGTCTCCGGGTCTAGCTTCGGGAGCATCTCTGCGTCCCGGATATTGTCGCCCATGCCCAATTGCCGGGCCGTCTCCTTCGCGATCAAGAGGTGGTCGCCCGTTATCATTTTCACCTCCACCCCAAAGTCGCGGGCCTGGTCGATCGTGGCTTTCGTATCCGGGCGAGGCGGGTCCAAAAAGGTCAACAAGCCCATCATTTCCCATGCACCCTGCGCGTTCGTCTTGCTTACGGCGAGCGAGCGAATGCCGCGTGCACCCAAGCCTTCCACGTCTTTCTCGCACTGGGCGAGCACCTTGGCGTTCTCAGGGCCGCTCAAAAGCTGCATGATGATGTGGGGGGCGCCTTTGGTCACTTTGAAGGTCTCCCCCCGGGGCAGGACCACGGTGGCTTCCGTGCGCTTGATGGTGGGGTCGAACGGTAAATAATCCGTCTGCTTCACGTCCCGCAGGGAGGCTAAATCCGCGCAGCTGTGGACCAGAGTGTCCAACGCATCCCGGGGAGGCTCGTTCCATTTGCTGGCCATGGCCGCGTACCGCAGGATCGTGTACTGCGTCTCGCCCTTGGCGTAAGTGGGGGTCTCCTGCTGGATGACCATCTTGTTCAGCGTCAAGGTCCCCGTCTTGTCCGAGCACAGGATGCTCATCCCCGCCATGTCCTCAATGGCGGCCAAGCGGGAAACGATGGCGCCGTCCTTAGCGAGTTCGCGGGAACCGAGGGCGAGGGTGGTGGTGCAGACAATCTCAATGGCAATGGGGATGGAGGCGACCAGAAGGACCACAGTGAACGACAGGGCCGCACGGACGTGCTCCCCGGAGGCCAGGAGATAGCCAAAGGCAATGCCGCAGAGGCTCATGGAGAGGATGACAAGGACGATCATGATCTTCATCAGGAGCTTGTCCAAGTTGGAAGATTCGTCCCCTCCCTGCAGAAGGGCGGCCGTCCGTCCGAAAAAGGTGTTGGCTCCCGTGCATTCCACAGTGCCTTCCACTTCCCCACGCACCACCGTCGACCCCATCTTGACGCTATCGCCCTTGTAAAAAGTGACGGGCAGGGATTCCCCGGTCAAGGCCGCTTGGTCCACGTCGATCGTGCCGTGGTTGACGATGCAATCCGCCGGGATGGCCGCGCCGGCGCCCAAGAGAACCAGGTCGCCGGGCACCAGAAGCGCCGCGTCCATGGTCACAAATTTTCCGTCCCGTTTGACGTGGGCGACAGGCTTGAGAGAGGCCTTGAGGGCGGCGACGGCGTCACCGGCCTTGGTGGTCTCATAGTAGGAAAGGGAGGCGTTCATGAATTGAATCCCAAGGAGGATGGCCATGTCGGGCCAGGATTTGATGGCAATTTCGATGGCAATCGCTGCCCAGATCATGCATGGCATAGGGGCGATCAGCTGTTCGATATAAATGAGCCATTTGGGTTTCTTTTTTTCCGGCAGTTCGTTCCGCCCGAATTTCTTCAGGAGCTCTGCCGCGAATTCCGAGGTGAGACCCTCGGAGTGCAACTTGCTGACCGTCCGCGTCTTGTGCAATGAGAGCTTCGGGGGGCCCTGCTCCGTCTCTCCGCCCACGGGCACCTTTCCCTCCTCCATGACTTCCCCGCTTTTAAACTTCTGGGGCAAGAGGGAGGAAGTCTCCATCGATCCGTACCCACCCGATTTTTGCCGGGACACGGACCTTTGCTTCTCAAGGGCGATCTTTACTGTAGCCTGCTTCACGTAGTTCATCGTTCTATGCAAGAAAAAGAAAAGCAAGGGAATGGGTGTGTCGAATGGATAGAAAAACGTTTTCACGACGGGAATAATTGATGCGCAGGCTGCGAGTAAGTAAGAATGCGGTGGTTGGTGAGATTTTCCGATGGAAGGAGGACAAGAGAGTGGAAAAGATGATCGAGATAGGGGGTCTGAGGAGATTCGCGACGAGGCTACGAGTAGGTGCTGGTGATAGGGTCCAGGAAGACAGAATTTATACGGAAAAATGCACATAGGTATGAGAGCACCCCACCCCGAGGAAGTGATCTTTGAGAGCATGCTAGCACGGGCATGACATGGATGGATAGACCGCGTGAAAAGCCGCACGCTTTAGCTTTATTTCCCGCCGTGACGTGCAAAGGTCAGGGTGTTTGAACCTCCCCCTACGGTCCCTGGACACTTACTTCTTTGTCTGGTGTTCACGATCATCGTCGGATTGCAGGCCCACGAATAGAGAGGGGCGCCCAGTGTCATCATAAAATGAACTGCTGAGACCTTCCTCGGCAATGCCATCCCGGATCTCCGCCTCCTCCGCGCCTAACATGCGGGCCATGCGCTTGGTCGACTCATCCACAACGAGAGCCATATTTTGAAGACGAGTATTTCGTATGAATCTCTCGTACTGCGCCTGTGTAAATAGAGTATGGCAATGAAGTTTGTTGAATGCGGAAATTAGAGTACGGTAATAAAAACCAGGGCCACGCAGCTATGCTCAATCGGATACTTTTTGACTTGCATTGCCCACATAATTAGAATATACTCCCAAATTTTCCCTTTAAATATTTTCTTAGCTTGGACACTTGAGATGAGAGGGTGTCGAATGACTGAGTCCGATGATGCGGTCGCACCTCGAATGTTCCCGCGTCATAAAAGTTGAAGCGGTATTAATTGGAGTTTTTGGGGCCGCAGCACGGGCTCGGCGGAGGGAGGAAACGCCCCTTCCAACACGGCAAACCCCGCGTGTACGAAGCAATCGGGCGCAATTCTTATCACCAGGAAATTAACGTGGTGTCCCAGCAGCTTATCACACACGTAATTGTGTTGTCCTTTTCAAGGACACTCGAGTATCCTTTTGAAATGATCTCAAACTGCCTCAGTGAATATTTGCTCAAGCGAGCTCGGCGGAGGCGCCTTCGGAAAGGCTGGATGCTGTGAGGTGCTGTGAAATAAAGTGAAGGGGAATGAAAGGGGCTTCAGACAACGATACAGGGGAGCAGACAACGTAAATGGGACAGCTTGCATCTTTTTCCCCTCCATAAGGAATTTTTCCCGGATGAAGTGTGGTTTGAACGTGGTTGTAACCACCTGGATTAGTTTTGGTGGGAAAGAGGATTCCCACGGCCGATTGCTTCTTCATGACTCTAGCGAGAAAAGGCATGGTCCAGTCCCTCCAACAATTGAGGTCGCTATTGATCACCTTGACTAGACCGTATCGCATTTCAAGAGTCGCGAAAACCGGGGGATAGTTTACATTGACTGTCCCCGGTTTTTTCGATAGAGACTTCCGAAGCGGTTTCAGCCACGCATCAACACCACCACGCGCTAAGAGTTTTAACAACAAATTAAAAAAAATGAAACACTATGAAAGTCGACTTCGACCACACAAAAAATTTCGCGTGCAACGGGAGCGTTGAAACTCCTTTTTAAAGCCTCGTGTGAGGATTGATTGTGCGATGGTCGTCCCTCCAGGTATCGAACCCGAGAACGCGATCCCATCAACTCACGACTTCACCCTTACTAAGGGCGTACTCTACCAACTGCACTGAGTTAACGAGGCACGCGACTACATTCGTGCGTATGTACACATTTATATACTACAAGCGATGGGTGCCGCGCACCAGTCTCTCATCGACAACATCATCCAAAAGACTTAGGAAACAGGCAATCTCGTGGATCTTCGCTGTCTTTAAAAGCCACATCATTCCGCAAACTTGATCACTTGATTTCGTCAATGCACAAAACGCACAGATCTGCCCTGGCTGGCCCTACTTTTGTCTGAAAACTTGTTCACCTACCTGAAAACAGCTATGAATAGCTTGATAATTATCGAAATATGAGATAAATTTGACAAATTCTCAGACATCCGTTTGAACCATTGTCAAAGTGCTTCGGACAATAAATCCCACCGAAATAAGATGTGGCGCTGTAGTTCGTAGATCACGGGCTCGCCCTCGTGCACGAAGCCTACTAGGAATTACAGCCTTCAAGGCTTCTTTTATAGTTTTCAATGTGTCATTGTTGGTCCACGAATGATCTCTTGTATCCCAGAACATAGCCTTTATCTAATGTGCCATGTTTGTCACAGACTTACAAATATTTTGAAACGTGCAGGAATGTGGATAATGTCCCAAATCTTGTGACTTTTGCGGTGCGTCGGATCATCTTCACTGCCCCTGCGCGACAAGGCCACACAAGTAATCCCAAAAGAGGACCCCGACCAAGAAGAGTTTTCCTCGTCCGGAAGCTCGAGACCAAAAACACCGCCTCACGCGTGGCCACGAGGGACAATGGGTCAAAAAGAGGCTCCGGGAGCCAGAAAACGTGGGAATCCAGGATTCGAGACGGCAGAGCAAGGTCCAACGGGCGGAGAAACGGTCCCGGGTATGCTAGTTCCCATGGGCCACGGCGTTCTGTAGGTCATGAAAAACCGCACTTCTTTCGAGACGCTCATTCGAATTCCTTGTTTCTCAGGCATTTTTGAAGGATGGCATCCCCGTTAGGGGGGGATTGCCGCCCTTTTAACGGGGATGGTGACGCTGACACGGATGAAATTCGGATGGGCTCGTCGACTCGCCCGGCGGCGCCGTCACATCAAACCCAGGCCCCTGAACACCTGAAGGATGAAGAAGACGTTGGGAATAATTCGACACTTAAATCAATGGATATTGAACGTCAGCTACCATGTGGAAGTTTAGCCGACCCTGCGCCTTGTAATGCGGGACCCAAAATTCGCAAGTCGTCGGGACCCATCCTCCCTGCCGCGTCCCATGATGCCCTGGACTATCCTGAGCCGGGTATTTCTACACCTCCACAGCTTCCTCCGGCATTGAAAATCCAGCAGTCTCAGATGACAACACCGTCGCGGCATTTAAAATCAAACGCTACAGTCAATTTCAAGTTGCCGGAGCCATCGTTCATTTCGGCGTCAGAGGAGATTGATGAGGACTCCGTCGTCCCGGACGGGCCGCCGGTCATACCTCGTTCAATCAGTATAAGAAACCTATTGATGAACGACAATACCCAGGCCCTTGGGCTCGCCCCCCGTCTTAGCCAGGGAGGCGGTCTGTCCGTCAATCATGCGTTGTCTCAATCGCGGACGCTCCGCAAACTCAGCGGCAGTGCAAGCGTTGGCATCCACGCCATGAAGCAGACATCCGTGAGGGGAAGCGTGAGTGCCAATGACCTACCAAGTATCCTGCCGCAGCACCCCCAACAACTGCAAAACCATGTCATGACCCACGCCCACCTCTCGGGTCGCCCGTCGATCTACTACCATCATCCCCTGGGCCGGCGCACCCTTTCCATTGCTTCGCGCAACTATCATCGAGCCCCTACGGCTTGCATTTCGGAAAAACCTGCCCCTCCAGTGGTGAAAAAGTCGCAGCGCCCACGCTTCTGGTGGCAAGCAGGCCGTCCCTCCGCCGCCTCTTCGGCCAAGCATCCTGCGGATAGTCGAAGACCTGCTGGCCACGCCCTATCCAAGTCCTTCGCAGGTTCACAGCCCGATAATGCATCAGACGGCAGGATCTTGACGACATCCATAGCTTCCACGGGTCATGAACAAGCGCAGCGGTCAGCGTGGTGGAAGGTCGGACTAGGAAAGCGTGGGGTTACGGGGGCATTTGAATTACCGGCGATTGCGGCACCGGAGGGAATTTTTGAGCAAGAAACGACCGCGGGGCCCTCTGGGGCGGGAAAGACCACCGCCGCGGAAAATTCTGGTAGCCATGGCGGCACAAAAGGAGGTCTAAGTCGCCGGGGTAAGGCCGCTGGGGCCGATGGAAAGACGGGGACGTGGAGGGAGTCGCGCCCTCGGAAGGGTGGGAGTGTCGGGAGTGTGGAGGCCGAGCCCGTGGTCCCGGATGAGGTCGTGAACAATGTTGGGCATGCTCAAAGGGCCATGGCTGCCCAAGCTGAGTTCATTCGCTCCTTCGGTATGTCCAGCCAGCTCCTGGGCTTCCTGCAGATCAACGCCACGGTCCTCTCCTTCGACGTGCGATGGCCCCCGGCGCTCATGCACTTTGTCCGGATTTTGCGCGTCTTCATCCTCGACTTCCACATCTTCCGGTGGAAGTACAGTAGCCTCCTGGTCTCATTCCTCTTTCCTTGTCTGTGCTACTATGTGAGCGAGATGGTTTGGCGCAACAGTGCCACGTGGCGCTGCCGTTACATCGACGCATGGCCGAAGAACAAAGCCATAGCCAGAAAGATCTGCACGTACTCCGTCATTTTAACCGGCTTGGTGTGCATAAGTTTGGTCTCTGCTGACGTTATGCTGGCAGTGGACGCCTTTGCCGTCACGTGGGTGGTCAGCGTCGTCTCGGCCCTGGCTTACCTCGTCTTTGTGGGGACGGGGAATATGGGCCGGAAACTCTTCATCATTTTGGAAAAAGAGGAAGACCGGATGCGTTTCTTTCTGCAAGTGCGCTACGCACTCCGCTACGCGGTGCTGATCGCTTTGAATCTTGCCTATCTACCACTCCTTACCAAGCTCTTCGAGATCATTTACACGGCCAAACACCACCATGAAGAGGGGCGGGTCATCTCTCCTGTCATCTGGATTGTAGCTTTGGTCCTCGCCGCACTGTATGGCGTTGGTTTCCCTGTGGCGATTTATAGACTACTCGCGCGCCGTCGGAGTGTGTACGAATGGGTGCCGGACCCGACAAATTCGATCGAAGGGGGAAAATACCAACCCAAAGCCGAGGTGGTAGTCGCGTTGGCGGGATGGAAGGGCGTGAGCGGGGAGAAGAAGGGAAAAATGGACGTGGAAGACGACGATCTCCTCGCCTACAACTATTTAGAGCTGGAACAGCAGGTGAACAATTTGAAACACTACGCCCGCTCCATGCCGCTCATCACGGACGGCTACAAGCGGAAGGCGGTGCTTCGACGGGTCCGAATTTCTTTGCGGCAGAAACGGATTGCCGCCAGGCAAAGCCGGCATTGGACCGAAGCTGCGTATGAAATGGCGCATGGGCACCCGATCGATGACTACTGGAGGTCCCTTCGGCCCCGATTCTCCTGGTGGAAACTCTGGGCCTATTTTATCCAACGCGGCCTCCTGGTAGCCCTGATCGTGACGCAAGACGGGCAAGGGATGGCCAGGAGCCTCTCCACCATCGTGGCATCGGTCGTGCTGATCGGAGGGACGGCACTGACCCTGCTTATCTGCTCTCCTTTCATCAGGCGGACCGAAAACATGCTCGAATCGTTCATTGACGTCTGCAGCACTTTCAACGTCTCAGTTGCCCTCAGCCTGCACCAAGGCTGGCTGGTCGTTTCCCCCACCGGCGTGCCATGGGTTCTATACCTCATCCTTGCGCCAAACCTGGTTGTGATACTCGTGGCAATTTACATCCTTAATCCTTTAGCACTGTGGCGGGCCTTCCGTTTCAAGTACAAGCAATTC